GATTGGACAGTTGGAACTGGACGTTTGAGAGCGCGATTTCGCGAGACATAACACAAAGAAATCGGCGGTGCGTGAAAACCGCAAACTATTGAGGGCCAATTTCCAGTTCATCGGATCATGCGCCCTTAGGATAGGGTCAAACACTCAAGGTATCAAATACATCTCATCGCCTAATCAAACCGTTGACCACTGACAGAACCAGAAACGTGTAGGTGAGTCTGAAGCTTCTTCTTCTCTGTTGGTTTGGAATTATTGATTTACCAATTCGCCTAAGTGAACACTCGGTCATTTACAGACTCAGTCATAGTTTCAGATATTGGCTTCCATTCTCCCAAGTTGGAGGAGGCAGTGAGTTGGGTTTCCCAGACAGAGCCCATTTGAGACACTTGTTTTTCAAAGGCAAGGGAAGAGTGACTAGTCACGACCCAAGACATTTATATCAGACCCACTGGGGTTTTCGGAAGCGAAGAGGTATGGGAACTAGGTTGGAAACAGTTAAGCAGTACACCGCGGAATTCTGATAGCACAGAAGACAAAACCAGAAGGTTGTGGTTACGTCACACTATTCCACGATAATACTGTGTACAAACAATACAGTTTTTGTTTTCCATTGTACCTGACGTACGTACACCGTTAAGAGATTACAGTCTCTGCATTCTCTCTCTCCCTCTATATATACATATATATATATATATATATATCGATCATCGTTCAATCATTTGAGCTTATCACACAGACTAAACAGCTAGTTCAGCGTTTGAAATGTGGAAATGAATTACATTTCTCACCGAATCGGTTACAATAGACAGCAAGTGCGGAAGTTCACAGTCAACGTACTTTAGCTAAGGTGAAACATTGGAAAACTTAAGGAACGGATATGTAGAAATAGCTTGTTTGTCTCTCTTGTGTTATGGTTCTTCACTCACTCACCCATCCACACACACACACACACACACACACTCACTCGGTTAGTTCAAAGTCCGCCCCACGAACAAACGTAAGTCGTTCCAATGGAACGTTGATGGAACGGAGCATGTTTTTGATCACCGCCTCGTAGTAACGCGTCCGCAAACGTAGCAATGGCCACGGGGCTTTCATATTGTCCAAATAGGCATGCAAATCAGCAAAAAGTATGATCACGTGACAACCGGCGCGTAACATATCAGCCAGTTTAATAATGGGCACAAAGTAGGCTACANGACGACCAGTGGTTGCAGTGCCCCAATAGACTGACATGGGTTTCTCAGCCGTAAGCAGTTTGCGAAGCTCATCCTCACCGACCACTTCCTGTATAAGATTGATAAAATGGAAACAGAAGCGTAGAAACGTTGTCCTCGGTGATCGGAGAAAAAAATCACGACTGATTTTCGTGTGATTCGATCTGCGAATGATACAATATGTATCTATTTCATAGAATATTTGAAAAGCTATTAACTTAAAAGATTATTTGCACATACAGTCAATCTCCTGCTATGTCGCACCCCTTAGAAGTCGCATTTTCCAATATCTTCCCACTTTTTCGAAAACCCAAACCAACCGTATGCTTAATAACGTAGTTTCTGACTATGCAGTGTCGCGCCCCTCAATATATCGCAGTTCTTGATACCTACTCACTTGGTCGTTGGTCAATATTCGAGACGGCCACTGACCAACGAACCTGCAATGTCGCATTCAGCCAATGGCGTTTCACCTGGTGTGAAGCGAACATTACACTGTTTACTGATTGGATTGTCTTGGAGAGGAAGACACACCAATTACAACAGTTGGAGGCAGTGTCTCTTGAATTCAAATTGTGCAACACGTATCGATCAGAATGTGTTGAAGATGCTTAATCAGCCAGGTACAAATTAGAGCTCCGTAACCGAATCACTTGGTCTTTCAAGAAAAACTGTTTACCGTGTTATATCGCGCCGAACCACTATGGGATAATTTGCGAACACTGGAGCATCTCAGGAAGGATGCCACCTGAAAACCAACGCCAAGTGCAAGACAGGGAATGAGGCAACCTTGACTTCGTTTACTGCTATGAGGGAAAAGCACGATGAATTCCCCATGCTGGAGAGCAACATTTGTAAGAAGATAATCCAGCTAGAACAAAAAATGCAGTATCGTGACTTCGAGGCTTCCAAAAGTTGGTATTCAACCATACAGAGTGACAAGCAGCTACTCATGTGCATTAATCCATTGGTTTATGGGACAAGTATGGCGGTACCACGTGATGCATGGAACGAGTTTCGAGCGGGGTGACCTATGATTCTGCTGACTGTGATATTTTCAATACGGGTGAAGCAGCTTTGGATAACAAGCAGCTCCTGGAAAGAACAGTAGGTCTCAAAGGACATATATTTTCTAGATCCAAAAAATCCAAAGAATGGTTCACATTTCTGGTTTGTGTGAACATGACCAGAGAAAAGTTATCACCGCCAGTTACTGAAAATTTCCAACTGCACGATGTCTCCAAGGTGTAGGTGAAAGAAGCTACCAGAGGAAAAACACTATTTCACTGAAGATTTTACTCACTACGTGTCTTTTGATGAGCACCTTTTTGAAGAAGCAATCGTCTGTTTAGGATTTGATGATGAGGAAGTGGATTATTTAAAAATGTTATATCAAGTCTCTTCTTTTAGTTGTTAGACAACTCGTCCTGAATCAAGCTCAGCGTCGGAATGAAGATGAATGTGAGGCAGTGAATGCGGCGGAAGTGCAGAAATTACCGGATCCATTGAAGCTGTTGGCTTTGACTAATGTTCCGACTTCGGGTCAATTACTTGAATTTACGATTGATCTACAACAGCGCGTTTCTTGATTTCCAACGGAAAACCAAACCGAGACAAATGACGATTTATGATTTAGCTAAAACTACGTCTTTCAGTACTGCAAAGGCTTTTCTTTAGTTCTGTGGGGCGCTCCAACATGATCATTTTTTGGTGGTCAACGAAGCCACGGCCAGGTTTGCGACCCTAAGATTAGTCCCAGTAATGGAAGCGAAAAGTAGTTGATCAACGGGCTCCGTCGCACTAACGTAGCTGTGTAAATGGATGAACGATAACCGTGATTATCTTAGCTGGTAAGAGGGGATGTGAAGTAATATATAAGATACAACCGATTGATAACCGCTGTTGCATTGATGCGCCTGTGCAAATGAATGAACGATAATCACCGTTGTCCTTGCTACTTGCTTAGGTCACTTGCCAAAACCGTTGCGATCGAATACTCTGAAGAGATTTTTTCTTTTAAACATCATGGAAATATTTGAGATGATCGACAAAGAGCATTAGACAGCTGTTTCGTCCTGTCTGAGACTCGTCAGTGCTTACGTTTTATATGGTCATATACTGCAATTGACTAGGATATTATTTACACTTATCTGCTCTCAGGTAAGGTTCAGAGTTTTAGGTAATCACGGTCGCCCAATGGTACAATTGGTTGACCTCCATAGATTCAGTTCAGTTCAGTTCAGTTCATACAACCATTAACCGTGCACATTCGTGCGCCGGTTTTGGTTGTTGCCTTTAGATTGCCCATTTGGATGAAACAGCAGAATGAAGGTGGAAATATTGAGAGCAAAGTCAAGCGAAAGATAGCGAATTCATATAGACTGAAGTTACAAGAATAATGAGTAGATGCATGACCGCCACTGTTTGCGACACTCAGCCATATCACTCAGTGTTTCTAACTATCGGTGACCATCATCTCGGGATCCCCAGCCAGGAAGCCTAACCGGACTCACGTTACCCAGTCGCCTGGTCAGGGTTTTTATACCCTCATGTCAGGTCTCAGGTTGACCACGCTTATTTTTTTCCACCCTGTCTAGACAAAAATCGTTCGTTGTGGCAACCTATCTGGTGACATGCGTAGCACATGTCCCAACTAATGTAGTCTATTAAGGTCGACTATTTGATCCAATGGACGACCTCGATTACCTAAAATCCTACTCCTATTCCCAGCATTGCTCGTCCGGTTTCCCCATCAGACTTATGCAATACTATGTAGACAGCGGTGTTCGAACACCGATAATATATTTTTATCCTGTTCCTGTAATGGCCAAGTCTCTGCACCGTAAAGCAGCACTGGCCGAACTGCTACAGCATATACTCGACTCTTCAC